GAATTATTGTATTGTATGCCATTTCCTGCTCTAGTTGTAGATGCGGTAATTTTCTGCCACCAAATTCTCAAAATCTTGTGGATTGTAACCCATTTCACGTTGCAGATCTTGGTAATTTGCTCTAAATAATAATATGAATACTTACTAAAGTGACCTTCACAAAATTTGACACTCCAGCTCTTTTAGTTTCCAAGATACATTAATTTAAGTATTTTCTTTATCTTCATATCTCTAAGCTATACCAAGTGTGTTTTGCTATCCTAAAGTTATAATAATTAAAAAACTTCCTTTACGATTTTTGAAGATTCTAGCTCTTACAGTTTCCCAGATACACGAATTTTTGCATTTAATGCAAAATTGAGGATTCTAGCTCTAATAGCTTTCCATATACACGAATTTTTGTACTTATTTCATATGGTACCAAGACTGCCTAAAAGTTACTAGTCCGTCCATTTTTGTCCTAAACATTCAATTTGATACTAAAGTTCCTCCGGAAAAAATGACGACTCTAGCTGTTATATTTTCTCAGATATACTAATTTAAGACTTTCTTTATATCGGAGGCGCCACGCCCACTGTATCTAGGCTGCTAATTTGTTGTTGTCCATACAAAATTTGAGGACTCTTGCTTTTACAGTTTCTGAGATAAGCGACTCTTAATACTTATTTTGTAAATGGGCGATGCACGTCGCCCACTTTAAATTTTGAAGTAAAAAGTACCATATAGTTCCTTCCAGACGTACAGAAGGACACTATAAAAATTAATCGCTCCAGCCGTTTAGCTGTCTATAAAGGCCAAAACAAACAAATAACAAGTTAGAGTGCTATATACGGCTATGCCGAATCTTAAATACCCTCCACTAGCAAGCTACTTTAAACTCATTTAACTATCTAATTTTCAAATAACTTGGCAAATTTTTGTTTCTGTATTGAGGGTACTAAAATTTATGCATATGTCAAACTAATTTTAATTAGGTCGAGAAAAATGTATATTAATTCCGTAGAATGATTTATATATACAAAATACACATTTATGTCGAATTTTATCCCTATAACTTTGATTGTCAATGTGCATTTAAGTAATTTTCGGAAATGGTTCTTATATGGGAGTTGTGACCAATTATCGTCCGATAAGGAAAAATATCGTATAATGTATTATATGCCAAAAATAAAAAATTCAAGTCGAATTTTATCAAGATATCTTTATTTGATAATGAAATATGTGCGTTTAAGTGATTTTTTTGGAGCTATTACCATATATGGACCAATCCGGAAAAAAATTAGTAGAATGATTTATATGCTCACAAAACATATTTAAGTCGTACTTTATCCCAATAGCTTTATTATTCAAAGAAATATATGCGTTTAAGTGATTTTCGTAAGTGGACTTTATATGGGAGCCTATCCGGAAAAAATTTCGTAGAGTGATTCATATAAAGACAAAACATATTTGTGTCGAATTTTATCTAGATAACTTTATTTGACAATTAAATATGTGTGTTTAAGTGATTTTCGGAAGTGGGACTTATATATATGGGAGCTATGACGAATAATGAACCGATCCGTAAAAATGATTTCTAATTATACAAAACATATTTAGACTAAACATATTTGTGTCAAGTTTTATCAAGATAGCTTTATTTAACAATAAAACATGAGTTTTAAATGATTTTCGGAAGTGGACCTTATATGGGAGCTATGACCAATAATGGACCGATCCGTAAAAAATTTGGTAGAATGATTTGTATGTATACAAAACATACATATTTAACTCGAATTTTATCACAATAGCTTTATTCTTAACTGAAATATGTGCGTTTAGGTGATTTTCGGAAGTGGACCTTATATGGGAGCTATGACCAATTGTGGACCGACTGAGATCTACGTTGATAGTATGATTTTTGTTCATATTATATTTGCATTTACATAATTTTGTGTTGATACCGATATATTTGAGGGAGTTATTAACGATAAACTAATTTCCGGGAATATATACCTTTGTATGGGGGCTATGGGAAATATTGGATCGATTGTAAAGATTTTGAACATAATTGATCACTGCCCTGAAAAAATAACGTGTACCAAAATTCATCGAAATATCTTTGGTAGTTTCTGAGAAAACTTCAAAAGAATTATGAAAAAAACTTAATTTTTTCGAGGTAGTCTGAAATTTTTACTCATAACTTTTTATGTTGTGAACCGATTTTGCTGATTTTCAATACCAAACTGCTTAGGATAATAATAAATATTTTGGGTGAATTTGGTTGATTTCCTTTGCTTAGTTTTAACGTGAGCGTGTTTTACACAGACAGACATACAGACAGACGGACATAGCTAAATCGACTTAGAATTTCATAAGGGATCAGAATATATATACTTTGTTGGATCTTAGATGAATATTTCTTGGTGTTACACACGGAACGACAAACTTATATATACCCTCTATCACCACTTAATATTAAATTTTATACATATGTTAATATTTTATACATATAGATCCATATAGGAGGTACCAAAACCCCCTTATGAAAGTCCACCCATTTTTCTCATAAATATTCACGTGGATGTTAAAGGTCCTTGTGAAAAATTAAGATTAAGATTCTATCTACAATAGTTTCCCAGATCAACGACGGAGGAGGTATCACGCCCCCTTTTGCTAGTCCGCCCATTTTTTGTCCTAAACATTCAATTTGATACTAAAGTTCCTCAGAAAAAAATGAGGACTCTAGTTGTTATATTTTCTCAGATATACTAATTCAAGATTTTCTTTATATGGGAGGTGCCACGCCCACTATAGCTAGGCTCATGTGTTTATATGGGATTGTAGCTCTTGCAGTTCATTTGAGGACTGTAGCTCTTGCAGTTTCTGAGATATGCGACTTTTAATACTTATTTTGTATGTGGGCGTGGCACGTCGCCCACTTAAAATATTGAAGTAAAAAGTAGCCTATAGTTCCAAAAGACTGTGAAAATTTCAGAAAAATCGGTTCAGCTGTCAGTTTAGCTGTCAATAAAGTCCTAACAAACAAACATACAAACACACATTAATTTATATATATATATATATATATATATATATATATATATATATATATATATATATATATATATATATATATATATATATATAGATTACCAAGATCTGCAACTCTCTAAACTAAGTTTAGTGATTAGTCACAAAATGGACAACAATCATAAATAGGTCATCGAGGTGTTCGAAATATGATTTTTTATACATTTATTTCGTAATAATATTTCGCATAGTCGGAAGATCAAAAACTGTTTTCTGTATTATTAATTTGTCTGTAAAAGACATAAAAAGATTAAAAAATTACTAAAGTATTACTATAAAACGACCTGTAATTCGACTCATTAATGACTCAAATAAAGATTAAAAAATGAGTTGTACGTGATCATAAAATACTATTTTAGAAGCGGATAGGGCACATTTTTCTCCCGACGAAAGTATCATTTATGATCAGAAAATGAAGCATATATGATTATTTTAATCGTGCAGAAGAGTTATAAATTACTTGAATGTGATCAACATTTTCAAAAAATGCTAGCTGGGCATATGTACATATAAGAAAACAAAAATGTTAAATTACCATGGGGCATAACCCTTTTCAAAACTAAACATGTATGTATATTAGGCTTCGTTTCAAAAAATAAAATGTTTCCCGTTTTTGTGATATCACAACTTTTTAGAAGGTTTTTGTATCAGTAATTAGTATGCTGTAATAATTTTTTCAAAATTCCAACTCCTTCCTCTATTTTGAGCGACATTTTTTACAGAGCAGAAACTGTAGAATTTGTAGGAAATCATGCTTTTATAGGAAAAATCAATAAGAATGAGCTTAATTTCACACTTTTATAATGCTTCAAAAGTGCATTTAGTATTATCCAAAGATGCACTTTTTTCAAAAAATATTTCAAAAAATTTTGTTCTTTGTGCATAACCAAAGTATGCTTTTTGCTGAGACAAATGGTGCAAAAACAAAAATTTTATCATTAACCCTTTAGATGTGATGAGACTTTAAATTTTCAGATTTTAAACTTTACAACGCTATTTTTCGAAAACCACGAAAGTTATAAGACCCAAAATTTGTCATTATACATGTTATATATGGAACATTAATTGAATGGAGTTTTATTAAATTCGGAGATGATGATGAAAAACACCATCGTTTGATGGGAAATTATTAAACCACAAGCCAACATTATAACCATCATAACTCCTAAAGGGATTACAATAAATTAAAAATTTTAACACTATTTTGTTAAGGGCATTGAATATTATATTTACGAATGATAAAATCAGGTTTTGAATTTTTTTTTAATTGCAGTTTTTCTTTTGCTCTTATGCATTTATAGTGCATCTAAATTCTGTCAAATTAAGTTTATATATCTTAAATTTTCCTGTAGAATAGTATACTAAAGTCAGATTTGAAATATGTACAGCAGTTTTCGGACTATAAAAAAATTTCGCCCAAAATCGGTATTTTGGCCGCAGATATCCAGATGAAGGAGTTGAAATTTTAACAAAATAATTACGCCAATATTAGCGCTGTTCCAAAAACTGTCATAAAAGGTATGATATTACAATTTCAAAAATATTGCGTGAAGCCTAATGTATATGTCTTGTTTCACGAACAAACAAAAACATCAATTTGTAAACTAGCGTTATTATTCAACTTAAAGTTCTTATTATTTTTTTTCGTAAAGATATATTGAGAGTTTCCAAATAATTTTAACAGACGCCTAGGTATTACTTAATGGCGTGTGCCGTTCAATAAACATTTCATGGTATTTTTCGTGGTTTTTCATTTGAAGATTTTGAAGTTTTTCTCTTTTTAGTTCTTTTTTGTTTGACTTAACAAGGCAGAGAATTGACAACTCTCCCTACTGATTCTACCTTTCTATGGTTGTATCATGACTTAATGGTTTAATTTAATTTGAAGTATGTGCTTTATATAAATACTCGTTTCAATTGTATTTTTTATTTTTAAATTTGTATACATAACAGTTTATAAAATAAGTATAAATTACATGGATACATTTTCAGTCTTATATGTGAAAACCGACAGATTGCGATCTAAAAGTAGAGATTAACGGTTTTTATTGAAAAAAATATTTGCCATGAGAAAAGAAAATTCTAAGTTAATAATAGCTTATATAAATAAAATATCGTAGCCCTACACATACATAAACCAAAATTCTGTCTTACAGAAATCCAAAGGCTTCATAGACTATAAGAGTATATACTGTTAAATTATATTTAATGAGTGAATGAAATCGTTCTGACTATATAATATGAAATAATAAATAGATATGATAAAATGAAAAAATGTCCAGACCACTATCAAAGACCAAATAAATTAAATAAAACCTGTTATATCTTCCTAACTAGCAAATTTTTTTTTTCTAATTATTTTTGTGATTTTTGCGAGGGATAAATACTAAAGGAAAAGTCTTAGTTGGTAAGGCAACACATGCTGGAACTGTTATAATGCTTGACAAGTTTTTGGAAGTAACATCGTATTGCTGTATAATGTTTGCCAGCAATATAAAGCCGAAACCACGCACAAGATTTTGTCCTATACAAGTCCGTTTTCCTATACTAAAAGGAAGAAAGTGTGGTATATTTTTTTTAATTTGCACCTTCTCACTACGCCAATGCTTAGCCTTTGCTACATTTTGAAATTTCGTGGATGAATTTAATACGGAACTCTCTGATACCGATGAGCTGATAGTTAAGGCTTCTTTGTCATATTCTATACCAGAGTCGGAACCTTCTGAGTTGCGTCGTTTTGTATTATCAGTGGTATTTTTTGAACTTTTTGTTGAAGCTTGGGTGTTTGCAAATTCTCCATCATCTAATGTTTCCAGAAATCGGTGAGGTTGGAATAGTTCAGGATTTTTCCAGTATTGAGAACTCGTATTCAATTTATAGTTATTTATGAATACAACTGTACCCTCAGTAACTCCGAATCCTGCAATTACCGTATCTTCTGTTGCCACATGAGGTACAATAGGAGATGAAGAATAACGTAAAACTTCAAAAATTGTAGCCATTGTGTACGGCATGTTTTCCATGTCATATAGGTTAATTTTTCTCTGGCCGTTGTTAGATACACCATCAACTTCCATTTGTATTTGCTTTCCAATTAATGGATTTTTGGCAATATAGGCCAATGCCATCATAACTAGATTTCCGACTGCCGAATGGCCACCAATGAAATCTTCCAGCATGTAAATAATAGTGTCTCGTGAAACATTCTTGTCTTCAATCAGACTTTTTAAAAGAGCATCTGTAAAATCTGTCTCTGGTTCGTCTAAATCTAAATTTTGTTCACGCTCATTAATTATGCGTTCCAGTATAAACTTTCGAATACTATTAGACCAGCCAACTATAGTGTTTGTGTGCTTCTTGTAAAACGGTGACAGCCAGGGCAAAAAATCCAAAGCGTATCCTTGGTTAATTTCCCAAAATATTTCATCAAAATATTTGACAATCATTTGAAAATCTGTATCATCGTAGTCAAAGCGCATAGAGCACATATATTGCGTGAACATATTAGCACAAGTCTGTTGAATTAGTGGTTTAATTTCGAACTCCTCGCCAGGAGGAACTTTTTCATGCATTTTTTCCATTAGTTCACTAGCTTCAAATGAACCCACATTGGACATTTTTAAAAAATATGATGATGAATTTCTGGGCGAACAATGACGACGTGCTAGATTACGACGTTTTTGTTGAAGCGACGACCAATCACACAATGCTAGAGCTGTAAAATAAATAAAAATGATATATTAATAACAGTAATACCATTGCTTACAACTTTATAAAACCTCTTACAGTTGTTGCGATCTCCTCCAAACAATTTATGGTAACGGAAAAAATCTGGCCGACCTCCGAAAAATTTTCCATTTTGATTGAGTACTTCACGTATAAGTTCCAAATTATTGACCACTAAACACCGTGTCGATCCAAGTGTTAGGGTATAAATATCGCCAAGTTCTTTTGACAGCTCTGTAAAACCTTCAAAGGGCACTCTAAACCGTGCCAACAATGTCAAGTTCCCAATTATAGGCCAAGGAACCGGACCAGGTGCTTGTTTGTATTCTCGTATAATAACTTTATTTTCCTTACTACTATCCACAATGCGCACTTTCCTTCCAAAATTGTACAGCATCCGAATGTATAGTCCCACAACATAGGACAAAATTATTATAATCATTACGAGGGGTAAGGTTAACATTTCAAATACTTCTTTACACACAATTTCTAACAAATAGTTTATATCCGAAAATAGTGATTTTCTTTAATCAATTCACTTGTCGGTGAATGTAGCGCTTACTTGCGTGTGTTTTTTTGAAAAGTTTAAATTCTTAACTGGTCGTAATTCATTCTCTACATAAGCTTTTATACGTGTTCGTCGAGACGTACTTTTTATTTGATAAATATACAATTGTATGTAAAGAATATGATTGATGTCAGTCTATCAACAAACGACGACGTTTTAAAGTTATTCGATTGGCTGTAATCATCAATAAAGCAGAAGAAAAAGAAAAAAACAGAATTAATAATATGCTGCTTTTACTGCTCACTTTTCAGTCAAATACGTTCTACCTAATTTTTCACAAAAAGGCAAATATTCAAAATTGAGATTTTGAAAAGAATGATAATTTTATAATATGTGTCACAAAATACGTTGTTATTTTACAGTGTTTAATATGACGAGTATTCTATCATGGCGACGCGCACATATCCTCCAACTTTAATATGTTAATGATACGTAAATCATAAACACATTATCATATTAACATACGTGTATCAGATTTGTTCTTAACACTGCACGAGGGGCTAGAATTCTACAATTTTAGTCATAAATATTAATACACACTAAAATCATACTTAACAGCTAAATAAATGTTTACACCAACGACATAGCAAAATAAAGGGAGAACTCATCATACATACTATATTTATAAATGTTCAAAATAGTGGAATTATATACTGTTTTTTTCACTTCCGCCTGATTTTTGAGAGCATAATAGGCCTAAGAGTGATAAATTCGGAACAAATATTCGATGTTCATCGTCTGATCCTTGGGGATGGAATTTTTCATAAATAGTCTTTGTAAATGCCAAATATTTGGCATTAAAAAATAGTCTAACCCGGTGCAAACTAAACAGATTTAAGGAGACTAAACCCGCTTAACGAATCCACACTTTTCAGTATGTGAATGTTGTTTTTTACTGTGATATTATTTAATAAAGGGGAACTACAAGATTTTTCGAACAGGATTTTACCATACCCTGTTTAAAATATTACAGTTTTAACATAAGGATAATTATATCAAAAAACGTCCTTTAATCAAGGATAACTCAAAAAAGATATCTTACATTTTCTGTTTTTCTTCACCAAAACTTCAGAGTGGGACAATGAAGGGATCTCAAGAAAATCAATTTTTAGGAAAATAATACACACCCAGCAAAAAATAATTGATGTCATAATTTACAAACGACATCTTAATCACATCTAAAAATGCGATTGCATATTTTTCGCTTCTATAAACCAAATATTTCCTTACAAATAAAAACCGAGTTAAAAGTGAGGAAAGAGATGTTGAAAAGTCACTAACATATTTGAAGTACATCAAATTTTGTGAAAAACCAATGAAATTTACAATAGCGTGTCATTGAAAGAATGTGGATTATTTTTGACATCCAAATATCCGATTTTTACTGCATCTATGAATAAGATTAGATGTAGTTCAAAGTTGTCAAAAATGAACAACATCCCTCCAATGACACGCTAATGTAAAATTCATAGGTTTTTCACCAAAATTTGAAGTACATGTATGTTATTTGTGGTGAAAATTCTACTTCTTTTTCCTCACTTTTTTTGCTGGGCACACATGATTTTTATACAGACTTCGAATTTCGAAATTTATAATTTTATTTCTTAATGAACACAATAAAAATTTTAAAAATTTCTAACAAAAAACAAGTAGGAACGTATAGTCGGGCATGGCCGACCATATAACACCCTACACCATGAGTATATATTAAAAATTTTTATTTCTCACAAAGAAACTTTTATGTTGAATTTTTCCTTAATTCCAAAGTATTTAAGCAATTTATTTATAAAAACCAAATTTTCTAAATGAGGCTTTATATAGGAGTATAGGTCAAAATGGGCCGATCCTCATTAAATTTGGGAAAAGGATATATTTTTAAATAATAGTTAATTATGTTGAGTTTCATTGCGATACAAATGGTTACAAGTCAATTTTAGACGTTTAAGACATTTTTTGAAGGGGGGTTTGTAGTGTCATTTACGAAAATCTGCAGTGTCATTTATACTTATATAAAACTTATTTGTGCCAATTTTTAGAGAGATAATAGTATATTTGACGTAATTATTGCATAACAAGTAAGAAAGTATAGTCGGGCGTGGCCCACCATATGATACCCTACACCAGTTATGAATATTAAATGTGATTTATTTTTCATAATAAAGCATTTATCTTCAATATTCCCTTGTTCCGATACATTTAAGCAATTTATGGATGAAAAACTAATTTTCTGAAAGAGGCTTTATATGGGGGCTAGGGGCAAATATGGACCAAGCCCGATAAAATTTTGTAAATATATTTATATTTACATAATATTTTATTGTGCTGAATTTCATCGCGATATTTGTGTTTATAAGTTAATTTGGGACATTCAAGTAATTTTCTGAAGGGGACTTTCTATGGGAGCTAGGGTCAAATGAGGCTCGATCTTTATGAAATTTGGCAGGGTCTTCAAGACTTCTATGAAACTTAGTTGTGCCATATTTTATCGATATATCTCTATATATTTAACATAATAATGAGCTCAGAAGCCCTTTTCGGGGGTTCTGTTCTATGGGGGCTAGGTGAAATAATGGACCGATTTCAATAGGCTTCGTCCATGTGTGAAATAAAACGTGCGTGCCAAATTTCATCCAATTACCTTGAAAATTGCGACCTGTACCTTACGCACAAGGTTTACATGGACAGCCAGCCAGACGGACGGACGGACGGACATAGCTTAATCGACTCAGAAAACGGTTCTAAGCCGATTGGTATACTTTAAGGTGGGTCTAGGACGAATATTTTTGTATGTTACAAACATCAAATATTTTTTTTTTTAATTTGAAAAATTTTCAATAGGCTTCGTCCTTGTGCCAAAAAACATGCTTGGTCCAAATTTCATCAAATTATCTTGAAAATTGCGGCCTGTACCTTGCGCACAAGGTTTACATGGACAGCCAGCCAGCCGGACAGACGGACGGACGGACATGTCTTAATCGACTCAAAATGTGATTCTGAGTCGATCGGTATACTTAAAGGTGGGTGTAGGACCAATATTTTTTGTGTTACAAACATCAGCACAAACGTATAATACCCTCCCCACTATGGTGGTGTAGGGTATAACAAATTGTTTATTGGGTGCCCGGTAGTTTAGTTGGTAGTGTGCTAGCCTGTCAGTGGTGATATTTTTAATTTCCTATTTAAAATCGATGCCACATGTTTCAAATTTTATTCGCAAAAGAATTGATAAAATTTAGTTTTAGATTTTTTAAATTTTGCACCAGAACTTATAAATTAAAAATGATGAAAGTGCGCGATAATCATTACTCGTTATCAAATTTTATCTTAAAGGCACGTCAAATTAATTTTCAAGTTGCAGCAGCAGCAGCTTTAATTTTTTAATATATACAATTTTCCTTTCTTATTTAAAAAATGCTTAGCTTTTCATATAGAATTATGTTAATTTTATTAGGAATTTCCTATTTAAATTTCATTATCTTCTAAACCATTTAAGATTTTTATACCCTCCACCACCATTAGTGGTGATAGAGGGTATATATAACTTTGTCATTCCGTGTCTAACACCCAGAAATATTCAACTGAAACCCAACAAAGGATATATATTCTTGGACCTTATGAAATTCTGAGTCTATCTCTCTGTCTATATAAAACATTCTCATGCTAACACGAAGCAACAAAAATTAATGAAATTCACCCAAAATATCTATTATTGTCCTAGGCAGTTTGGTATTGAAAATGAGCAAAATCGCTTTTGAAAAACTCCGAACAAAAACTATGCAATGTAACTCCATGAAAATCATCACACATTTGTTTCTATACAAGTGCTTTATTCTTGTTGGAAATTGGCGGAATCGGTCCACAATTTCATATACCTCCCATACATATTCCCGGAAAATGAGTTTTTTGTTAATAACTTCCGTTTGAATGTCGATATCTTCACAAAATGTTACAAATTAAAGTTTTATGTCAGTAGAATCCACCAAAAGAAAAAAATTTCCGGATCGGTCCATAATCGGTTATAGCTCCTATTCAAGGTCCCCTTCCGAAAATCATTTAAACGTACGTAACTAATTGTCAAATAATAATATTCATTCAAACTTTTGCACACATATTACCTTTGTATACAGAAATGTTATTTTAAATTTTTTTCACGATGGGTCCATATTTGGTCATAGCTCCCATACAAGGTCCCTAACCGAAAATCACTTAAACGCATATAACTCATTTCTAAATTAAAATATCCATATAATCGGTCCACAATTGGTCATAGCTCCCATACAATGTCCCCTCCAGAAAATCACTTAAACGCAGATAACTCATTACTTAATTAAGATATCCAAATAAAATTTGGTACGAGCATTACTCTTATATGCAAAAATGTTACTGGTCATAGCTCCCATACAAGGTCCCCTCCCGAAAACCACATAAACATACATAACTCATTTATAAATTAAAAAATCCATACAAGATTTGGTGCAAATATTGCTCTTGTATACGGAAATTTTTTCACGATCGGTCCATATTTCGACATTGCTCCCATATAAGGTCCCCTCCAGAAAATCACTTTAATGCTCAATATTCATTACCAAATAATAATATAGATAGCCAAAATTTTGCCTTTATATACAATTAATGCTACTGTGGAATTTGTTTACGATCGGACCATAATTGGTAATAGCTCCCATACAAGGTCCCCTTGCGAAAATCTCTTAAACGCACATTACTCATTACCAAATAAAGCTATTGATACAAAATTTGTGCCACAATATTATATTTCAAGATTTTTTCACGATCGATTCATAATATGGGTGCGATCGGTCCCATACAAGGTTCCCTTCCGAAAATCACTTAAACACACATTACTTATTACTAAATTACGATATAGATTAGATAGACAAAAAAATATGAAATATATCTTTTATGTACAGAAATGTTACTTAAAGAATTTTTTACGATCGGTCTATAATTGGTCATATCTCCCATATTAGATCCTGCCCCGAAAATCACTTTAACCGTATTTAACTAGTTGCATTATCAATTTGTGTAGAATAATATTATATATATTTCGAATTTCCTTAAATCTTTCACACACATGCATACATGCAAATTATTAAATATCACTATAAAAATATAAAAGAAAATGGCGTTTGTACTGTTCAAGAAATCTTGCAATT